CAGGAAGAAATAAGAATCCTATATCCTGAAATTCAGTACACGTATAGGTATAAGTACACACACAGGTATAAGACTTTTGAATAATTGGCTTTGTTTTCTTTTAATTGGATTATAATTTGGCATTGTGATATTGTGTCCTTTATTGAATTTGTATGAAAAATAGAAATAAAAATTATACAAAAAGAAAAAAGAACAGGGGTGCCAACTCCTTGGGGCTGAGACCTCTACAGCTCCCCACTGAATTTCTGAAGGGATGGGGCTCAGCCCCCTCAATCTTGAGAGGGTTGAGGAGGCCTGGTGGTAAGTTGCCTGAGGCTGTGTGGCATCTCCTAACACTGAGTGTCCAAGCGGGATGTCACCCTGGGCTGTGTGGCATCTCTTGATGCTGTGCAGCCTGACAGGATGTTGCCCTGGGCCACACAATGTTGGAGAGGCCATGTGGAGTAGTGTGGCCTGGTGGGCGAATGTCGTATAAGGAGGAGGCGCAAAGAGGTGTCTTTTCAGCTTTCTTGATTCCCTGTAGATGCAACTGTTCCAATAGGTCTGCACTAAAATTGTTATAGAATTTCTGGTCAATGGAGGCAGCTTGTCTCTGGATAAGCTTTGAGTTACCAAACCCATATTTGTTGAGCTTTTGTTTACCAAACGTTTAACTTGATTACCATTATTTGCAACCTAGTTCCCTGATATTTCAAACAATGAAAGTTCTGGATCCTCAGGACCTCACTGGAAAGGTCAAGCCTTGTACCAACTGAGCCAGGAGTAAACAGGCTTCTATGGCTCTTCCCATGTTTTAAGCCTACTTTTAAGCCTATCAGCCTACTTTGCATCAGTAAAAGAGAATCCCCTCATGCCAATTATCTTTTGAAACTCAAATTTGGAGTAGAATATTTTGCTGAGATCAAAAGTATGTACCACATAAAATTAAATACAAAAAGGGCAGCAGGGAACTCAAGGAAATGATTTCCATTTACTGTGTGGCACAATTCACTTGACGAAGGCACCAGAAGTTATTTCTATTTTTCTAAAAAACAGAACAAAAAAACCCTTGCCAGGTGTCTGCTTTCTATGAACCTGCTTTGTACTTCTACCTTCCAAAGTATCCTACAGCTCTGTTTCATCCTTTAGTCTAATGATTTTTTTTCCTAATATCTTTATCACTGAATCCTATATAATACCGTTGTGAATTTGCTTCACATTCCATGGAACACTGCATAATTTCTGGGTGCCTGCCAAGATCCAGGTTTTCGGCAAGTACTATTTACACCCATAACTTTCATATATTTAAATTTTACCAGAATGAGTTAAAACTAAAACTATTAATTAATTATTTCTTCTTATAAGTTGCTCCCTGTTGTTCAGTTCGGGCTTCAGAATAATGACATAGCATTTAGGGGCAAAGATGCAACACAGTAACCCACCACCAGAGGCCAAGATGGAGAAGATCTCCACAGCCACCATGCCCTTTCCACTTGTGCTCAGGTAGGCTGGAAAAGAAGACAGCCAAACACTGCAAAAGAGCAACATGCTGAAGGTAATGAACTTGGCTTCATTAAAACTGTCAGGTAACTTTCGGGCTGCAAATGCGGCAACAAAGCTGGCAATGGCCAACAGACCCATGTAGCCCAGGACACAGTAAAACGTGGTGACTGAGCCTTCATTACATTGCACAATGATTTCTTCTGCTAAAGAGTTCATGTCCAAATCAGGGAATGGGGGACATGTCATCAACCACACAGTACAGATAGTTGATTGAATAAGAGAACAGGGAATGACAACTGAGTAGGCCAGTCTTTTCCCTACCCACTTCCTCATCCTGGACCCGGGCTTGGTGGCCATGAAAGCTAGAACTACAGTGATAGTTTTGGCCAGCACACAAGAAACAGCCATTGAGAAGGTGATGCCAAAAGTTGGTTGCCGGAGGAGGCAGGAGACTTTGCTAGGTTCACCCAGAAATAACAAGGAAGAAAGGAAGCAGAGCAGGAGAGAGACCAGGAGGGAGTAGGTGAGGTCCCGGTTGTTGGCTTTGACTATGGGAGTGTCTCTGTACTTAATGAATGTTCCTAGCACCAAAGCTGTGATGAAGAAGAAAGAAAGGGCAACTGATGCTAAACTGATCCCTAAAGGTTCTTTGTAAGAAAGGAAGATGATCGTTTTCTCAATGCAGGCAGTTTTGTTCCTGGTTGGATACTGAGCTTTTGGGCATCTGACACAATTAGTCATATCTGAAAAATAAACAAGGTCAAATTTCAATATTGATTGAACAGTACATCGCCTTCCATATTACTTCTTCACTGACATGAAATTAAACCTATTGGATCCTTGTTCTTTAGTTTTTGATCTCACTTATTTTTTGGTTTCTTATAATCATGTGTGTGCCAAATTGTATTCTTTTTTGGATAAGCTTCTGACCATGGAGGCATAGTAGAGCCACCAGAGTTCGTAGCCATTGATAGCCTTCTCCTCCCTATGTTTGTCTAAAATTCTTTTAAAGCCTTCCATGTCGATGACTATCCTGGCCTCTTGTGGGTGGAAATTTCATAGTTTAATCATATACTGCATGCAGAAGATAATTTTCCTCTGTTTGTTCTGAATCATCCAACACCCAATTTCATTAGATGCCCCTGTGCTCTCGTTATGAGAGGGGTATATCCCTCCCCTTTATCTGATTTCTCAATGCTTTGCATAATTTTATGCATTGTCATCATCTTGCTCTACCTCTCTTTTAAATCAGAACCAGTGAAGGTGGTGAAGGTCCTGTGTGAGTGCCTGGAGGTGGTTGGAGGATGGATGGCGGCTAACAGATTGAGGTTGAATCCTGACAAGACAGAAGTACTGTTTTTGAGGGACAGGGGGCAGGTGGGTGTGGGGGACTTCCTAGTTCTGAATGGGGTAACTGTGCCCCTGAAGGACCAGTTGCACAGCTTGGGAGTCATTTTGGACTCACAGCTGTCCATGGAGGCACAGGTTAATTCTGTGTGCAGGACAGCTGTCTACCAGCTCCACCTGGACACAGGCTGAGACTCTACCTGCCTGTGGACTGTCTTGCCAGAGTGGTGCATGCTCTAGTTATCTCCCGCTTAGACTACTGCAATGCGCTCTATGTGGGGCTACCATGGAAAGTGACCCAGAAACTGCAATTAATCCAGAATGCGGCAGCTAGACTGGTGACTGGGAGTGGCTGCCAGGACCACATAACACTGGTCCTGAGAGATCTGCATTGGCTCCCAGTACATTTCTGAGCACAATTCAAAGTGTTGGTGCTGACCTTTAAAGCCCTAAACGGCCTCGGTCTTGTATACCTGAAGGAGCATCTCCACCCCCATCGTTCGGCCCAGACACTGAGATCCAGTGCCAAGGGCCTTCTGGCGGTTCCCTCCCTGCGAGGAGTGAGGCTGCAGGGAACAGGCAGAGGGCCTTCTCAGTAATGGCACCTGCCCTGTAGAACGCCCTCCCTTCAGATGTGAAGGAAATAAGCAGCTATCTTCTCTTTAAAAGACATCTGAAGGCGCCATGGAAGATGGCCGACAATGCCATCTCTCCAGCTCCCACGAGGTAATTTAGAGGCTGAGATGGGAGTAATAAGCCTCCCAAATTCTTCCCGGTGTAAGGGAAGATGCAGTCTCATCCGCGGATGCCCAATAAACCACCCCCAAGTTCGTAAAGAAGGAGGGGGTGGGGGCACTGGATGGAAAGCCCCCGAGGGAGTTCGGATTTCCTGGACGCTGTCCCCGTGAGCCCACCAAGTTCCATTTCTTAAGATAAAAAATTGGATTTAAGTTTTTGGACATGCTTCAAGCAAAGAGGGGGAAATTAATCTACCAATTAAGCCAACCACTGAGGGGCCAAGAGTAACTGAGAGGAAGAAAGAATAACATCTAAGGCGGTACGTTGGAATGGAATGGAAAAGGGGGGGCGTAAAGCTTTTTTTTATTTATTACGATTTATTACAATACCTGACACCGCCCCCCGAATAACCGTTTACATTACTTATAGCAAGCTGTTACATTACTTGTAGCAAGTTATATAAACTGTGTGAAAATAACAATACTATAAACCTAAAGCTTTTGTTTTTTGAAACGCTTGGAAGAAGATAAAAAACTCTCCAAATATTGATATTAAAAAGAAGCAGGATCTCTTTAGCCACTGGAGAAAATTTAATAAAAATTATTTTTTTTTAAAAAAAAAAGACATCTGAAGGCAGCCCTGTTTAGGGAAGTTTTTAAGTTTTTAATATTTTATGCTGTATTGTTTTTAACACTTGATTGGAAGCCGCCCAGAGTGGCTGGGGAGACTCAGCCAGATGGGTGGGGTATAAATAATAAATTATTATTCTTATTATTCTTATTGCCCCTTACCCACTTTTTGATCTGTAATAACCCCCTCAAATGCTACTGTCTATTCTTGCCAGTGTCCTCATAGGATGAAAAATATGAGTGCTACATAACTTACCATCCTGGTTTGAAATTTCCCCTTCTGAACATGGAGCACAACCATAGCAGCAAAACTTTTCCCCTTCTTTCTTTTTCTTCTGATTCCCAGGGTGGCAGTGGACATTACATAGAGAAAGGGGAATCACCTATCCATAGCAGAAAAGCAGTTTCAGGAAATAGGAGAAGCTGATTTTTTATCAGACTTCTATTAATGATTGGGATCCCCTCCAAACCTATGACAAAATTTGTAATTATTTCGCTGCACAAACCCTAAATTTTGCCATACCCTCAAAACTGTATGGCTGATATGCTCAGCACAGTGCTCTAATTGTTACCTCAAATGCAATATTGTCCAATTCACTCCACCCTGTGCTATAGTTTTGTAATAGTCTTGCAGTGTTTATAGCGTAACTCATGCAGTTTGAAGAACCAGGGTGGGGGAAAGAGTAACTGATACATCAATCTTGGTTCCTATTTAACACCACTCAAAATTCAGAACTTTCAGATACACTTCAAAACTGTCAAAGTTTTGCAAACATGGATTGGGGGTAACCTATGTCAGAGTTTTGCAATTGTATTACAGCATTTCGTAAGTCAAACTTCACAATTTGACTTATGAAATGCTGTAATACAGTCATACCTCAGGTTACAGATGCTTCAGGTTGCATTTTTTCAGGTTACAGACCGACAAAACTGGATGTACCAGAACAGGTTACTTCCAGGTTTCGGCGGTCACACATGCACAGAAGCACTAAATGCACAGAAGCACCAAATCGCAACCTGCACATGCGCAGTCTCGCAGACGCGGGTTGCGAATGCTGCAGGTTGTGAATATGCATCCCACATGGATCACATTCATAACCCTAGCGTCCACTGTACAATTGCAAAACTTTGGCATAGGTTAGGAGGGGATCCCATTTTTTTTTTCATAGTTCACACAGCTGCCTTATGCCAAGCCTGACTTTTGGTCCAAAAATTTCACCAGTATTTCATTTCTAACCCTACCTGGAGATGCAACGGACCTTTTCCCAGCAGCACATGTGTCATTAATAAGATATTGATAAAGAGGTTGACAAATGGGGGAATTTCAAGTAATTTCATGTGGATATCCCAAAGCTTTACTCTATCTATCTATCTATCTATCTATCTATCTATCTATCAACTGGTTTGTCATGGATCTTAGGGACAAACCCCAAAAATATTTTTCTTGGTGTCATAGTAAAAAAAAACCTCAAAAATTTTGGGGTCTTCCTAAAAAAAACCTAAAAAAAAACCCAGCTAAACAACTGTTGAAATATGGCAAACCTTAACAGTGGGGTCAGAAGGATTCCTAGAATGCAGACCTGATTAAAACCTCTGTGCCACACAAGCATATCTTCATGAATGATGAATGCTTCTCCTTCAAGAGCATCAGGATCAACTCTTCCAACTTTCATTCGAAAGAAGGACTTGTTTGGGAATGTAATCAAGTTCATGATGTCAAATCCACCTCTCATTTCCCTTTTATCATTAAAGGACATTGTTTCCCCTGCTGAGTTGTTAAATAAAATGCCTTGCAGAAAATAATGGAGCTGATTCAAAGAGAAAAAGGAAAATAAGAAATATATATATATATATATATATATATATATATATATATATATAGTGAAGGACAAATATAGAGAAATAAACTATTTCAATCCAGTGGATAGAAAAGTTATAACATGGCAATAGAAGGCTAAAATTCTGTACATGCTAAATATATAGGAAAAGAGGAGCTAACAAAATGTTATCACTTTAAAAATATTGCATTTCATGAAGTGTGGTTTTGGAGGAATTGGCTAACTGAAATAATATCTTGTTTGCATTATGTTACTCCCTTCTTTATGAATATTTCTTATGAATCTGCATCTAACGCAGACCAAGTATGAAAAATGAGCTATTTTCATATAAGCATACAGAAAAGTTACAAAACTATATCACTCTAAAAATGTCCCTTGTCATGAAGTCCGAGCTTGGGGTAATTAGCTCACGGAAATAATGTTTTGCTTGCAGCATGTTACCTGCCAAGGCTGCAGATCTTGAAGTTCAAACCTTTTGCCTCCCATCATTGCTCTGTGCTTTGATCTGTATGAATAAATAGCATGCAAAGCATGAGCGACAACAAAGACAGCATTGTGGATACTGTAGCTGTGTCCCGTCATGCCCATTTCAAACTGATGCCCAGGAAGACATTCTAACTTCTCCTCCCCTGTACATGTTTCATTAAGTTGCAGATGGAGTTCTGGAAATGTAGTCAAATGCTTGCTCCCAGAAGTCCTTGAGAAAACCATCTGCTGAGTTCCAGTAAGGTTTTATGATCTGAAGAAATTCATTGAACTCGAGAAGCTCATTTGAGTGAATGGTGAAGGAAATGGCACCTTGAAAGAGCTCAAGATCCCAAGACTTTTGAAAATTCAATAATATGAAATCAATCTGTGTTGTCATGATCCACACCTTTCTAAGTGATGTGTTTCCCTTATTTTCAGGATCTCGTATAAACATAAAAGTTGGCAGCCAGTTAATTGTCAATGAATCTCCATACAGGATAAATGCATTGGCTTTATCATCTCTGACAGCCACATAAAAACTTTTGAGTATGTCATAAAGTTCATCCAAATTATCTAAACGAAGTATTTTTGGCAATCTGTTTGTGAATGCTGAACAGATTCCATGCTGGTAAAGCAAAGGCTCCAGGGCCTGCAAGAAATTTTCTCCTCCATCATCATCCGTGACAAAGAGTCCAACCCATGTCCATCCAAAATGCTGAAGCAAGTTGATTATCGCCATATACTGATAAGCTTCATTGGGCACCATGTGGTAAAAGTAGAAGTGATCTACATCACTCTCCTCTTGGGGAAACGAACCATATGCCAACTAAAAGGAAAAGCACAGACATTATAAAGGTAAGTAAGTATAAACACTCATTTTGAGGATATGGCTGTTAAACTGAATGATTCTTCTAGTTGTGATGATATTTTTTCAATTTCAGGATATTTTATTTATGTCTTGTCAGGCATGTCCCTTTGTTTCATTTATAAGGTGCAATTTTAATCTGGAATTACTTTGTCTGTGGAGATTTAAGATTTGGAAGGAGCCGCACTCTTTGGATGAATCCCAGATATATCTTTGCCATGTCTGAAATGCTTGCAAAATTCAACCAATGCACCAGCAGATTCCTGCTCTAGTTCAACTGTTGGGAATCATGAACAAGATGTATATGGCATAGGGAAGTATAATAGCTACCCTAGATCCAAAACCTTTGCTCTCATTTGTTGAGAAGAGCTGTGCTTTGCATGTTCAAGGTGCTGTGTGTGTGTGTCGTTAGGCATTGGTGCCATGAACACCTCCAGGCTTTTTGATGTCTTCAAAGTAGGAGAGTAGTCATGATCTAGGACTGGTACAATGGAATGCATAAATGGGGACTTGGCTGAGAACAGACTATTTCCTTGGCAGGAGAATTATGATTGTCTAATTCTGCTTGACTCAGACTTTTGGTGGTGTACCAATCTCTAGTGGTAAAGAATAATCTATGTTTCTGATAGACATTCCAGCTCGTAATGCTTCAGCAGCAGTCGTATGCACTTTGTGAATCTCAAAATCACTTTCAGAAGGGTGTGATTTGTGTAGCAAAAGTTCATGTCCCTACTCATTAAAACCTACCTGTGGAATATTGTAGAGTCTTAGGAGGTCAGCAATATGGAATGAGGTATCAGAGCCAAGTCCTCCAATGATGGCAATGAGGTTTTTCTGGGAATCACATTTGTAGTTGGGAGCAAATCTACGCATTTTAAAGAGCAGGTCCAGAGTGGTACGATAGGTCATCCTTGCATCATAATAGCTGTCATAGATGTGGAAGCCCAGTGTGACATTGGGCAAGAGGTTGGGATTCTCATTAATCACTTTTACCGCAAATGCCAAGGCCAGGATGTGCTGGTAGAATTTTGTTATCATGCTGCAAATGAGGTTAGTATGGAATTTCAGAGGAGAATTCTACAATGCAGGAAGTAGACAAAATGCCATTTCTGTCTCATATTGATACATATCAAACTATATCTTGTTATCTTTTATGGTGGTTCTAAAATAAAAAATATCAAACTCTTCAGCCCAAATAAAATGTTTTACTCATCATGCCATCTCAGTTTCGTCCTCCAAAAAAAGACAGTGATAATCCCCACCTCTTTCTCTTTGTACTCAAACTGGCTGTGCATCTAGCCCAGGGAAACAACATTTATTAAAAAAAATTAGTTACAGAGTTACTATCATAATTATATAAGGCAATTTCTGATATTCATTTATAGGACTGCACTATAGATTCCTGCATTGCAGTGGGTTTGACTAGATGGCCCTTCTGGTCCCTTCCAACAGTGTAATTCGTTGATTCTATGTCCTTCCTACTACTTTTTTGTTTTGAGTGAACATCCTAAAATCCTGGGCAACCATCATCTGTTTTATGGGGAAGATTGGCATGCGTGGGGCGGGGGGGGGGTGAGATGTCATGACGTCCCATCGAAATGAACAAGGCAGTACACTGCATGTAGTTTGGAAAAGAAACTTATCGTATCAAGTGGATGCTGTTTTTGAATCTTCTCTGGGGGCGTGTGCAACTTTAGATTTCTCTATTGCACTTATCACTCAGTGCCAACTGTGCCTTCGCTGCTAAGTGAAAATTATAGAGAAAGGTGTATTTCTCACAAAGCAATTCACTCAAACAGTGCCTGATTGAAGAAATTTGCTCTGGGAAGATTAGACACTTGCAGATCCTGTGTCCCAAGACCAGGTACAGCAGTATCCCCTACATACCCTTCTTGGTAGTCCTTAGCATACAAAGTCTCCATAGCCATCTCCACATTGCCTTTTAAAAGAGAAAGGAATCTGATAATCACATTTCTTGTGACAGAGAGCAAAACCATCATTTATTGCCTGTAAGCTTAATAGAATGCACAACCAAAAAAATTACTCGGAAGGATCAATCCCAAAAATGCAGGTGGGGGAAATTCTCTTACCATGGAACATCAAACAGATTCTGTGAAGGGTTTTCCTTGAAGAAAGCTTCATAGAAAATATAATAGATCTGAGAACTAATCCCACCGATGATGAGGCCACCTGACTGGTACCACTCATGTGGAATAGGAAATGTATCAGTCACAGGGCAATTCATAGTTTCAGCTTTGCACACAACAGGAGGCAGCAGAAAAATCAAAGTGAATAACCACAACATTCTTGTAGTCAAGTTTCTCTAAAAATGTACCTGCTGAAACAAACTAGCTTGCATGATTCTGGGCTCTGTCAATACAGCACAAGAGATTTTTGTACATCTTATTTTAGAATCAAAATAGTATATAAACACATACTTTGGGTGCTAGGTGAGATGTCCAACATTCTGATTTCAAGTCCAACCAATAATATGAAGAAAATAAAAATGGGAGAAAGAAAATTGAAAGTCGTGGCTGCCTCTTGCCACTCTTCCTATCTATTCATGGTACAGAGTTTCATTTAATATAATCATTTTCATAGCTGTTTACTGGTGCCTTCAGAAATGCCTCTGGAGTTCCCACCAGGTGAACAAATTATAATGATTTGGATAGTTGTAGTTTGATTTAAAAACTTTTAAAAGGTTTTTGTCCTAAGGGTTTCTGTGGTTTTAGTTTTTGCAACATGTTGAGTTGTGTGTTTATTCTACCTACCTGTTACTCCATCCCTTAGAGGCACAAAAAGTGGCAATTAGCTTGAAGTGAACACTAGCAGGAAAGTCAAATTGAATCCGTTTTGTTTTGTGACTTCAAGCAACAAATCTAATAATGGTCACTGCCCAACTTCATTTTTTTTAACCAATTCTATTAAAGTTTTGCAGTATATGACACAATGAAAAGGAAAGAAGAAAGAGAAGAAATAAAAATAAAAATTAATATCTCTATAGCTTCCATCACCTTTCTATCTTGATCATCGATGGACTTACAAAGAAACGAGTCTCACCAGCTCTCATCTAGTAAAGCCTCCCCCTTTCTCAGCCTCCTACCCTGAGAAAAACTACTCTGGAAAATAATACACAATAGATTTGTGGCAGAATCCAAATGTGTCATCACATGTGGAACCAGGCAGAGGGCCTTCTCGTAGTGGTTCATGTCCTGTTGAACGCCCTCCCACCAGATGTCAAAGAGAACAACAACTACCAGACTTTTAGAAGACATCTGAAGGCAGCCCTGTTTAGGGAAGCTTTTAATGTTTGATGTATTACGGTATTTTGATATTTTGTTGGAAGCCGCCCAGAGTGGCTGGGGAAACCCAGTCAGATGGGCAGGGTATAAATAATAAATAATAGTAATAGTAATAATAATAATATCCAGAAGGGGAAAATTATACTGTTGCAACAATAACTATGAAAGAAAGAGGTGTGACACAAGTGAAGTCAGAGTGAAACACAGGGCTGCATTTATTTAAATTGTCCAAAAATTAGTGAATCGCATGTGATGGATCTCAGTAGTATGTGGGTCTCAGAAAGGGAAATAAAGTGCACTGATCCCCCTTCTAACATTGTAGAGAAGGAAGGGGAAGAAGCAGAAATTAGACACAACCACAGCCATTCCCAACCTTTGTCTCATGACATATTTGTGCCTACTGCTCCCTGGTGAACAAACCCTTCATTGTCATTGAAAGGCCTAACTCCCTTCCAATTGGTCACACAAACAGTCCCCACTCTCCTCCCAGCGCTCAAAAGGGGTTAGTTTAACCTCTGGTTTGCAAATAAAACTGTATTATTATGTCAGAAAATGATGCATGTTTAAAAACTGTGTCACCAACATGAAAAGTTTGGAAAGCTCTGACATAGAGTGAGCTTCGTGACTCCACGGGCATTGGAACCCTCGATTGAATCACAACCATACTTGATTATATATATGTTAGGGCTTTGCACAGCTTTCAACCCAATCACCCCAATAGCTCAGATCTGGGGACATCAGGTTGACCCACCCTGGGTCCAACTGGAGACCACCCACACCCCATCCCAGATGTACTCCTGAATACATTTTCCAACATGACTAATCTTTAATCAGGCTTTTAAAATCACTAATTCACATTTCACAATGGGTTTGTCTTTTTCAGATACTTATTATTTATTTTTTGTGACCAGTAACAGGCTACATAAAAAAAGAAAAACAAAAGAAAAAGAAATTAGCTTTAAAGGGGGGAGAAAGGGGGGGTGACAAGCTGTCACAATTGGCAACAAAGAAATTTGGATATAGCTATGGGATATTCTAAGTTGATAATAAAACATACAAAAATGAAAAGAATGTGTTGTCTGGAATTACAAAGGGTTTTGTGTTCGAAAGAATAACAATTACAAATGTTTATATCAAAAAATAACTTAAATGGTAACCTTGAATGCATTGTGTCCAGATAGTGAAATTTGTGAGAATACAAATATTAAGTACCACAGTTGCATGTGAGCATTTTGCTTTCGACTAAGCTAAATACTCACATGCAGCTGCGGTACTTAACACTCCTGAGCTGTTTCATTTGTATCCTCACAAATCTCACTATCCAAACACAATGCCTCAAAATGTTGATGTCCCAAAGGGTGAAAAACCCAGAAAAACCCTCTGCAGCCTTGTAAAAGGCAATCAAGGTGGAAAACTTTGCTTATTTGTTTACAGTACAAAACACAGTTCCAATGGTTTGGATATCTGTGGTGCATAACACAAGCTTTAGGTACAAATTACAGTGGTACCTTGGGTTAAATAGGCTTCAGGTTACAGACGCTTCAGGTTACAGACTCCACTAACGCAGAAATAGTATCTCGGGTTAAGAACTTTGCTTCAGGATGAGAACAGAAATCATGCAGCAGTGGTGCGGCGGCAGCAGGAGGCCCCATTAGCTAAAGTGGTGCTTCAGGTTAAGAACAGTTTCAGGTTAAGAACGGACCTCTGGAACGAATTAAATTCTTAACCCGAGGTACCACTGTACTCAAGTAAGTATACGTGAATTTTGTATGAAAAGCATTTGGTTACTGGGACTTGCGTGTATAAAATAAAATTAAACAAGTGGCAAAAAAGTGATCTCAAGTACTTTTGCTACAAGAATATATATATATATATATATATATATATATATATATATATTATACTACTAGAATATATATATATATATACACACACACACACACACACACACACACACACACATCACATATTTAAAATTTACAGAAGTGAGGGGAAAAACAATTGTTTAACTCTTTTTTTAAATAAGTTGTTCTTTGTCTAATTACCCATGTTAGAGTAAGTGAATTTTCGTATAAAAACATTTGGATACCGGGACATGCATGTATAAAATAAAATTAAACAAATGGCAAAAAGTACTTTTGCTGCTGGAAGAGAGAGAGAGAGAAAGAGAGAGAGATTTTGGTTTTCAACTCTTACCTATTACATGTTTAATATTTACCTGAGTGTGGGGGGATTGTTTAATTCTTTTTTCTTATAAGTTGTTCCCTGTTGTTCAGTTCTGGCCTCAGAATAATGATGTAGCATTTAGGGGCAAAGATGCAGCCCAATAACCCAGCACTGGAGGCCAAGATGGAGAAGATCTCCACAGCCACCATGTGTTTCCCTTTGGTACTCAGGTAGGCTGGAAAAAAAGACAGCCAAACACTGCAAAAGAGCAACATGCTGAAGGTAATGAATTTGGCTTCATTAAAACTGTCAGGTAATTTGCGGGCCGCAAATGCGGCAATGAAGCTGGCAATGGCCAGGAGGCCCATGTAGCCCAGCACACTGTAGAACATGGTGACTGAGCCTTCATTACATTGCACAATGATTTCTTCTGTTGAAGAATGTATGTCAAAATCAGGGAATGGTGGACATGTCATTAACCACACAGTACAAATAATTGTTTGAATAAGAGAACAGGAAAATACAATGGAATTTGTCAGTCTTTTCCCTACCCACTTCCTCATGCTGGACCCTGGCTTGGTGGCCAAGAAAGCTAGAACTACAGTGATAGTTTTGGCCAACACACAAGAAACGGCTACAGAGAAGATGATGCCAAACGTTGGTTGCCGGAGGAGGCAGAAGACTGTGCTAGGTTCACCCAGAAATAACAGTGAAGAGAGGAAGCAGAGCAGGAGAGAGACAAGGAGAGAGTAGGTGAGGTCTCGGTTGTTGGCTTTGACTATGGGAGTGTCTCTGTACTTAATGAATATTCCAAGCACCAAAGCTGTGATGAGGAAGAAAGAAAGGGCAACTGATGCTAAACTGATCCCTAAAGGTTCTTCATAAGAAAGGAAGGTCATTGTTTTCTCAATGCAGGCAGTTTTGTTCTTGTTTGGATACTGAGCTTTTGGGCATCTGAAGCAGTCATTCATATCTGAAAAATAAAGAAGGTCAAATTTCAATACTGATTGAACAGTACTTTGTCTTCTATGTGACTCCTTCACTGACATGAAATTAAACCTATTGGTTCCATGTGTTTTAATGTTCAGATATAAATGCTTTGATCTTACTTATTCTGAAAGCCATTATACTGATTCCCTTCTTACTTTTCAACAGTATTTTGCCTTCTAATTTATTTCCTCTTTTGGATAAGAACATAAGAGCCTGCTGGATCAGGCCAATGACCCGTCTCATCCAGCTTCCTGATTTCACAGTGGCCAACCAGATACCTATGGGAAGCCTGCAAGCAGGACCTGAGTGAAACAGAAGTCTCCCCCAACGCCCATGCTTCCCAGCAACTCATATTTGGAAGAATTCAGCTTCTGTCCATGGAGGCACAGCAAAGCCATCAGAGATCATAGCCATTGATATTCTACATGAGTTTGTCTAATCCTCCTTTGAGGCCTTCAAAATTTATGCCCATAACTGCCTCTTGAGGGAACAAATTCCACAGCTTACCGGTAATCATGTACTTGTTGAAGAGCTTAATTTTCTTGTGCCTGTTCTAAATTATCCAACACTCAATTTCCTTTGATACCCCTGAGATCTAGTGTCATTTTTATCCTACTTTCCCCATCCATTGAACAATTTTATCTATTTTTTTATCATATTGTTTTTTGCTCTAAAATATCCCCCTCAAATGTCTAGGCTTCCTTGGA